TCATGGGAGAAAGATATAGCAGTCTGCTTCTGTAAAGAATTCAGCCTTGGAAAGCCTATGAGAGACAGCTCTACTCTGTCCTATAGGATCCTATGTGTCAGAGTAGACTCAACAGCAACAGGTTTGGTTTTTCGGTTTTTGGAAACAACTGACATGCCTACTACCAACAGATGACTAGATAAACAAAATGTGATATATAAACACAATGGAATATTACTCAGCTAGCAAGAGAAATGAAATCTTGATATATGTTGCAATGAAGATGGAGCTTGAAGACATGCTGAGTAAAATACGTCAATTGCAAAAGAACAAATATTGTATGAACTCACTTATATAAAAAGACAAGAACAGGCAAATGTATAGAGATCTAAGTTTATTAGTGGTTACTGGAGCCTGAGGGGAATGGGGGTGGAGGCAGGGGTATTGCTTATGGAGTACTGAGTTTTGGTTTACAGTGATGGAAAAATCACATTGATTAAGGGTAGGGTTGCACAGTAGTAACTGCTGTCAATAGGTTGTACATCTGTAAAAAGTAGAATTGGCAAAAAATTTTTGACAGACATATTTACAACAATGACAGGAAAAATAAACTAGCTGCTGAGGCTGCTTATGTACAACTAAACATCACATAGGATTTGGTTCCTTGGTTTGAAGGTTTACGGTCATGGTTTTAGGGAGCATCCCAGTTAATTGACCTAATAATGTGTTTAGTGCTTCTGTTCTACCTCTTAGTTCACTGTGTAGTGTCTACAGTCTTAAAAGATTGCAAACAACCATCCAAGGCACAACAATTGGTCTCTCTTACCCAGGTAGGAGAGTCAGGAATAGGAGGAAATGGAATGTGTGGCTAATTGCCTCCATGAACAACTGCCTCCTTTGCCATGAGACCAGATGAATTTGATGGTGCCTGGATGCCATTACTAAACATTTTGATCAAAGATTCTAAAGAAGAATCTAATTAAAAAAAGGGGAAATGCAGAATAGAATCTCAAATGCTCATGGAATCCAAATTTTCTGGAGCCATAGAAGCTGAATGAACCCCTGAACTAATGCCCTGAACTTTAAACCAAAAATATACCCTGAAGTCTTCTTAATACCAAGCAATAGTTTACATTGATTAGTAAAAAATGTCTACCTAGATTTAGCTATATGGGATCAAATTGACAATAGCAACTCGAAAGATTAGGTGGGAAGCTTAGGAAGCAGTTAATTTACGTTAATGGGAGAGGAACAACTCAGAAAAGGCGGGTGAGAATGGTTGCACAGCTTGAACAACCTAATCAATGTCACTGAATTGAACACACAGATGTAGAAATTTGAATAGGTGTATGTTTTTGAATAGGTGTATGTTTTTGAATAGGTGTATGTTTTCGCTGTGTATATTCTCAACAACAAAAATAAATAAATAAATAAATAGGCACAGTGGCTAAGGCATTTGATAGCTAACGAGAAGGTTGGCAGTTCAAACCCTCAGCTGCTCAGCAGAAGGAAGATGGAGCAATCTACTTGCAAAAAGATTTACTGTCTTGGAAACCCAATGGGGGTCACTATGAGTCAGATTCAACTCAGTGGCTGTGAATTTTTTTTTTTTTTTTTCCCAAGTTTAGGATGAATGTTGTTGTTGTTATGTGCCTTGGAGTCAGACCCAACCCATAGCGACCCCTCCTTGGGTTTCTGAGGCAGTATCACTATGGAAGTAGATTGCCCAACCTTCCTTCCAAGGTGTAAAAGATTGTAAAATATGTCATTAATAAATTTTATATTAGTTACAAGGGGTCCCTGGGTGGTATAAATGGTTAATGTGTTCAACTGCTAACTGACAGTTTAACAGTTCGAGTCTATGCAGAGGCACCTCAGAAGAAAGCCCTGAAATATTCTGAAATACTAGCCATTGAAAACCCATAGGAGCACAGCTCTACTCTGACACACATGGGGTTGACATGAGTCGGAGTTTGCTTGATGGCTATTGGTACTGTCCTGGTACTGGTATAGTACTTAAATGTTAAAATGGTAATATTTTGGATATATTTGGTTAATTGAAATATAATTACTGAAATTAAATTTACTTTTTTTTTTTTTTTTTTAACTGTGCTTACTGTGGCTATTAGAAAATTTTAAACTATATATGTGCCTTACATTCTATTTCTGCCCATGCTTGTCTGAACACTGAGCCCTGGCCTCCTAGGCTTCTCTGCTGTCAGAGCTCTAGCAGCCAGGTTTATGAACTTTCACCCCCTCCTCTTGCCACCCTTCCCCCTCACCACATTCCCTACATCTCCACCCTTCATTCTAGGCAGGAGATCAGGGACTCTTTTGTGGAGAAACTGAATAGCCTCAGACTATACATAGAAATGCTGGAGATCCACCCAGTATAGTGGCTACTTCCTGCCCAATCTCCCTGGAGAAACAAGCACACCCACAGGCCATGGCTTTCAGTTAGCTCTGAGGTGACTCATTCTTCAGTATGACAGAAAGCCAAGGTCACCTGACATATAAAGAAAGCTGAAGACATAAAAAAGAAAGACCAAAACCATCAGAGTAAAGCAACTCAGAGGAAACAGACAATCCAGGGATCAGAAGGAAACTGGAACAAAATAACTCTGAGGAGTATTATCAGAGAGATAAGAGAGAAGATGGCATCTACAAAACACAAACAGGATGCAGTGAACAGAAAGCATTCAGAAAACAAGGAGGACTTAGAAAATGAAAAATGATAAGGAAATTTAAAATATCCAATAGATGGGCTGGAAGATAAAAATTAGGAGTCTGCCAGAAAGCAGAACAAAAAGACATTGAAAAGTAGGAGAAAGGAAATTAGAAAATGAGATGTTTCGGGGAGGTTCACCTTTGACTAACAGGAGCTTCAGAAAGAATGAGCATAAAAAAACAGACGGAAGGAAATTACCAAACAGATGATACAAGGACATTTTCCAAGAAGTGAAGAATGTGGGTTTCCAGATGAAATGGCCACCAATTGCCAGTAAAATGGATGAAAATAGACTCTGTGATTTTGTCTCCCTACTAAACTATAAGCTCCTTTAATGCTGGAATTCTGGTAGCGTAGTGCCTAAGGCACTTGACTGCTAACCACAAGGCTGATGGTTCAAGCCCACCAGCCACTTGTCACAAGGAAGATTGGGCAATCTGCTTCCCTAGTGATACCGCCTCGGTAACCCAAGGAGGGGTCACTATGAGTCAGGTCCGACTTGATGACAAACAACAATAATCTTTTTATGTTCTTCTTAGCACAAAAAAAAAACTGCTCAAAGAATGTTGAATGAATTATGATCCTACTATTTTAGATGAGGAAATTGTCCGTGTTCATAGAGCTAAATCCTGGGAGATCTGGAGTTCAAAGCCCAGTCAGTCAGACTCTACGCTGGGTGCTTTTTTTGGCAGAACAAGCTGCTAAAGCACCCTTTTGCTCCCCGGTGCTCTGGGGCTGCTGGCTTTTGTGGAGAGCCACACACCCTTACAAGGCTCCCTGGAGCCAAAAAGGCAGTGCAAGGCATCCCTGCTTGTGTACTGTTTACTTAGGGCACCAAGGAGAAACCAATGACACTAATGGTTGGTACACATGACTGCTAAGTCTGTCACTCCCAGGAACCTGGCTCTCTGCCTATAACTCTGCCAATAACTCATATATGTTTATCAAATTAACAATGGATTGGTGGATGGATAGGTGGATGGGTGGATGGATGAGTGGGTAGATAAACGGATGGATGGATGGATGGATGAATGGATGTTAACAGTAAGATGAGTTAAGGGGCTTTGGAAACCAACAGGGCTTGCTTTGAATCCTGTATCTACCCCTGTCTTCAGTGAGAATGGGGCATGTTACATCACATCTCTGAGCCAAGGATCCTACAGGAGACTTTGGGGTTGCTGTGATGATTAAATGATACGTGTTCAAGTGTTGAGCCCAGCAGTGCCTGGTACATGGTAAGTGCTCAAGAAACTGGAGCTGTTATCATCTTCATCAACCAGAAAGGAAAGGGTAGTGTGTTTGTTAGGTAGAGATGTGATGGAAGTCTGCAGTTGGTTGTCCTGCCACCACTCCCTCCTCCGTCCCCCTGAAATTGAATCCTGGATTTCCTTTGGAAGTCATGTAGTCAGAGTAGCTTATTCCATCAGTGAATTGACTTCTTCTAGGACCCTCTTAGGAGCTCTGGTAGCATAGTGCCTAAGGCACTTGACTGCTAACCAGAAGGCTGGCGGTTCAAACCCACCAGCCACTCCTCGGAAGGAAGGTTGGGCAATCCTACTTCCGTAGTGATAACTGCCTCGGAAACCCAAGGAGGGGTCGCTATGAGTTGGGGCCGACTCGACGGCTTATAACAACAACAGGACCCTCTTATTGGTTCAAAGGTGTATATAAGACTGGAGATGGTCCAAGCATACTGAACCTCAGAATAATTCCTGGGAGGGTTATGGGACACAGTCTTTCTTCTTAACACTGATACAACAAGAAGCCGTTGGCTGTTATGTTGGGAGAACCAGCCTACCAATAAAGCTGAGTCACAGAAGGAAAGTAGAAAGACAAAAAGAAACATTGTTGAGTTGTGGGATTGAGTCTCAATCTGAAGCTGGTGATCCTTGAACTTTTTCATTTATCTGAGCCAGTTAACTTTGGCTATGTTTAAAGCCAATCTAAGCCAGATTTTTTGATATCATCCCTCAAAAGCATCTTAACTCATAGGGAACGGCAGCAAGAAAGAAGTCATATGAGTGAAACATCTCAGGAAGATGATTCAACAACTATTGAGTAATCCCAAATTGCAAAAAGTTTTGGGTACCAGATATTGGGGCTAAATTTCAGCTATTATTTTCCATTTGACAGATCAAGAAACTGAGGTCAGAGGGTTAAATGCCAAGTGACTTATCTAAGTTCATACAGGTTAGTTAAGTGTGGAGTTGGACTAGAAACCAGAGCCTCTGACCCCTGACTCAGTGCTCTTTCCCACTTATCACACAGCCACTATAACCATGCAGAAACTTACCCCATCCAAGGGCAACAAATCCCTGGAGGCACTTCCTCTCAGAGAAGAAGGAGATAACCAGGAGTGTGTGGAGGTAGAGGCCTTCTACTAGCAACCAGGTGTAATTTGCCACGATGCAGTACTGGAAGAAGACCATGACAAGCTTGCAGCCCACCTGTACAGAGAGAGGCAGGTAAGCTTCAAACCAGGTAAGCTTCAAGACAGATGACTGTAGGCATTTTCTGGTGGTCAACCGCTGAATGAAGCAATAAGGTGCAGTAGGGGCAGGGGACAGGCCATAGGAAGAGCCTCAGGGGGAAGTCCACAGGCCAGTGGGCTTATCAAGGTGGTCAATGGGCCATAGCAGGAGCAGAAGTTGGATTCAAATCCTGGAACTGGCTGCCAAGTAAGGAGGAGGAAGATACTCCTTCAATTGCAGAACTGTGTCATATACTGCCCAACCCCCTTATTTTTTTAGATGAGGAAGCTGAAGCCTAGAGAGGGGAAGGAACTTCTGAGCAAAAGATTAACAAAATCCTTTCTCAGCCCATTTTCCCTGGAAATAGATGAAGAATGAGCATGCCAACCATATTAGGAGGCAAGATTGCTTATGGTAACAATGGCCCCTAACTGGTAAACTGCATCTGGACTGCAGAACCATAGATACCTAATGCCATAACTTTGGACTTCCCTAATGCAATGACACTTGTAACAGGCATGTCCCTTGCAAAAATTCCCAGAGGCTATGTCTACAAGATGGCAGCAAGGGATCTTGGTTCTGCAGGGCATGAGGCTTCTATGCTAGCTCCCTCACCCACCCTCTGTGGGTTCCTCCCTCACACTGAGCTTCACTGGGGAGAGAGATGCACCGGTAATGGCTCTGTGGGCTTCTGCACAGATGCTGTGAGAACATGGCACAGAAGAAGAGTCTGGTGCTGCCTGTGGTCTAGAGGGGGCTCCTGTCCTCATGCCCCTGGGTATTTTGACTCCAGGCATCACCCACAGTTGGCCTGTGAGTCTCAATGTTTAGTTGAATCTCGAAGGTTTCTCAGTGGGCATTGCTGGATTTGTCCACAGCTGGTCAGTGAGGAATTAAAGCCAGAACTTAAGTCTCCTGACTCTGAGTCTGGTACTCTTCTTTCATCCTAGAGAGCTCTGTGAGAGTCATGGGCCCTACCTTGAGGGACTTCTCTGTCTGAGTAAAAAATAACACACACACACAAACACACACAGTCACACACACACAAACTATAGACAATACAAACTTAATAGATTTGTAAGGAATTACAGTTATGAACAGTGTGAAGTTGCAGGTATTCTAGATTGGCCAAACCAACCTCAATTTCTCATCCCTTCTCCCTTGTTTGCCTCTGCTCTGGAGACCAAAATTAAGAAAAAAAAAAAAAAAAGAAAGAAACACCACAGTCTCCTCATTTCCTCTGCAGTTAAGTGTGGTTCTGGTAGCGTAGTGCCTAACGCACTTGACTGCTAACCAGAAAGCTGGCGATTCAAACCCACTAGCCACTTCTTGGAAGGAAGGTTGGGCAATCTACTTCCGTAGTGATACTGCCTTGGAAACCCAAGGAGGGGTCGTGATGAGTCGGGTCCAACTCAATGGCACATAACAACAACAACAACAAGCCAATGAAATATACATGGGAGTCCCTGAGAGAGTGTCCTGTCCCAAAAGAAAAGGTGAAGCCTCCCAAAAAGAAAATAAAAAAGTTTACCTTTTGATCTTTCTCCTCCTTCTTGCCTGGTATATAGGCATGAGGCCTGGGGCTGCAGCAGCCATTGTGCAACCATGTGATATAAAGTATAAGATAAAAAGCCTACACTAAGGATGACATAACAGAAAGGAATTATATAACAGAAAAGAATGTGTTTCGTGGCATCATGGAGCCACTGTGCCATCCCTGGATTATCCATCTCTAAAGTACTTTTTGTGTGAAACAACTTCCATATGATTAAGCCACTGATGTACATATAGTTTTGTGCTATTTGAAGCAAAAGAGGTTCCCAAATGACACATAGATGATAATTTAAGAGTCATCTGAGATTTGGAAGGAAAGAGAGTGTTAGAATTAATGACACACAATTATTTTAGTGCAGACATATGTACCCAGACATATCAGCATATGATCACATTTTCTTTCTACAAATAAGCCCAATCCTTTCTATTCTTGGCCAAGACCTGGCAGGAATAGGGAAAGGGGGAGCCTTGCTTATGTGACTAATTCCAGAGTGTCTAATCCACTTTTGGAAATGAGTTGAGAGACTGGATCCACGGGCTTCCCAAAAAACTGTCCTTGTAGATGACCAGATGACGCCGTGGGACTATGGGAATCTTCCTGAACCTCCTGGCTCAGTCCCAGTGCTGACCCCTTTACCCTAGGCACTAAGGACAACTTCACTAGGGCCCTGGAGGAAGGACAATCGGGGCACAATCCTCTGCAAAGTTAGGCTGGGGAAGACAGGTAGGCCTGGCTGTGTACTGGAGCAGCCAGACATATTACCCTGTGGGCATCACAGTAGGTGACATCATCCGAGGAGAAGAGCACAGCATCCTTGATGAAGTTGGAGATGGCACGCAGAATGAAGGACACAAACAGATGCATGTGGATATAGTTGCGGGTGCAGTGAAGCCTCCTGAAGGGGACAAAATGCAGGACCACAGGGCTCAGAACTAGGAAGGTTGGGGCTCACCAGCCCACCCTTGCCCCAGTGTATTGGGGAAATCAAGCCTCTGCACATTGGTTCTCTACAGGTCAAACATCTGTTAGCAGAACCTGAATGAGAATCTAGGCCCCAAAGTGCCCAGTTCCTCTGTCTCATGCTGTGATAAAAAACAAAAACTGTGGGAATTCAAAAACTGATAATGGTGATGAACATAATTACTGTCACTGAATTGTGCATGTAAAAATCGTTAGAATGACAAGTGTTTTGTTATATATATGTATATATGTATGTGTGTGTGTGTGTGTGTATATATATATATATATATATATATACACACACACATACATACATATATATATATATGTGAGCTGCAGAGAGAAGCAGATGCCAGGTATGTGTGCTGCAGAGAGAAGCAGTTGTCAGCCCCACTCACCTACCTGGCTGGCTCTGCCTTCAGTGGTCTCAGAGCGTGCCCACTTCAGGGCACCACCAACCCTGACTGCATTCTGCTCATACCCAAGAACACCAATGTATAAGATCCTAATATCTTGGCTTTGAAAATTATCCTGGGAATCGTGTGATGCCAATTCAAAGTTGAACCTCACATTTATGGCTCCCATCAACACCCTGACTTCAAGCCTATACTTGAATACCTTCAGGGATGATGTGTTCACTATCTTTTGAGAAAGCGATTCAGTGTAGGATACACACACACACACACACACACACACATATATATATATAGTTTTTTACCATGATAAATGCAACAAAAGCTGGGGTCTGGGACAATGTTATATTCTGTCCTGATCTACCACTATCCTCCTCACTCCCAGCATTGGTTAGAATAAGAGGAGGCAGGAAACCAGAATGGGAGGGAGTGTGTGCATGGAGATTCAGGCTTTGCCACTTTTTAGTACATGACCTTGAGTGATTTTTTTCCTTGGTTTCCCTCTCCACTTCTGGGGACAGAAGTCTGTTACTTGTTCTCCTTCTGGTAACAGAACCAGAACCTATTCTAGCTCTGGATGGAGATGACTACCCTTTCTCACCCTCATGGTAGATCCAACCAATCAGAACACTTCATCACCTGGCCCCAGTGATTGGCTCAAGGTTGAACATGTGATGAAGCTGGGCCTATGAGGACTCCCCCAGGACTTCTACCAGAACTAATGGGAAGTAGATCTTCTTTGCCCCTGGTGTTGTGGAGCTGCTGGAATGTTCACCTACAGCTACTGGTGGCTGTTGCTGACAGCCTTAAAAAAGCCTGCCTGAAGATGAGGTCAAAGCAGAGCCAATCTAGTTCTGCTGATAACATTTTAATTTTTTAAAATAATTTATTTTATTTTTGCTATTGAGATTATACACAGCAGAACACACACAAATTCAACAATTTCTACATGCGCAATTCAGTGACATTGATTACATTCTCCATATTGTGCAACCATTCTGAGTTGTTCCTTCCTCTTTAACATAAACTGACTGCCCACTAAGTTTCCTAACTAATCTATCAAATTTCTGTTGTCAATTTGATCCTGTACAGCTGGGTTTTAAAAGAGCACAATGCTCAAGGTAGTTAAGGTAAAGTTAAGTTAAACTAAACTATTTGGTTTTAAGAAGACTTTAGGGGATATTTTTTATTTAAGATGTAAATGTTATCTACAGACAATAGTTTCAGGGGTTCTTCCAACCTCCATGACTCCAGAAAACCTGGGCTCCATAAAAATTTTAAACTCTGTTCTGCATTTTCCCCCTTTTGATTAGAATTCGTAATCAAAATGTTCAGTAATGGTAACCAGGCACTATACAGTTCTGGTTTCATGGTAAAGAAGGTAGTTGCTTTTTCATGGAATCAACTTTACATGTTCCCTTTCTTTCTCTTATTCTTACTCTCCTTCTTCCTCTGTTGCTCTAGGTGAATAGAGACCAGTTGCTGTGCCCTACATGGCTACTTACAAGCTTTTAAGACCCCAGGCACTACGCAAAAATCAAGGTAGAATAAAAGCACTGAACATGTTATTAGGCCAATTAATTGGGATGTCCCATGAAATCATGACCATAAACCTCCAAATCAAGCAACTAAATCCCCTGAGGTGTTTGGTTGGTTGTACATAAACAGCCTCAGAAGCTACTTTTTTTCGTTCATTGTAAATTCTGCTGATATCTTTCCATGCATGACTGAACCAGTTACCCCTGGCTTGTCAATGAATTAAACTGTTTTGAAATGGGTTTCTGTCTCTTGCAACTGAAAGTCTGGCAAATGCACTTATAAAATGGGGATGATACCTACCTTATAGGAGCTCTGGTAGCATAATGACTAAAGCACTTGACTGCTAACCAGAAGGCTGGCAGTTCAAACCCACCAGCCACTCCTCAGAAGGAAGGTTGGGCAATCCTACTTCTGTAGTGATACTGCCTCAGAAACTCAAGGAGGTGTCACTATGAGTCGGGGCCGACTCAACGGCACATAACAACAACAACCTACCTTATAGCATTATGTGAAAATTAGACATAATACATGTAAAGCCACTGTCAGTTCTCAGTAAAAAGTATTTATAATGCTTTTCCTTCTAGCCCGAGAACACCATGAGGGAAGAATTAGAGACCATGTCTTGTTCATATTTATAGACCCAGTGTGTGATCATAAAGGAGCTCTGGTGGCATAGTGCTTAAGGCATTTGACTGCTAACCTGAAGGCTGACAGTTCAAATCAACCAGCCATTCCATGGAAGGAAGACTGGGCAATCTACACCCAAGGTACTGCCTCAGAAGCCCAAAGGGGGTGGCTATGAGTCGGAATCAACTCAATGGAAGTGAGTTTGGTTTGGTTTTGGTGTGGCCATAGGAAGTATTTGGTAAATGTTGAACAAATAAAGGAATGTACAAATGAACAAGATCACAGGAACTTAAATGTTTTGCTACAGGTAACTTTCACAAGAGGTGATAAAGTGGCCAACCCAGACCTTTCTCTCTCTGTACTGAATTAAGAAGAGACCCCAAGCCTGTGATGGGGGAAGTCTGGGGAATGAAGAACTGGCAGTGTGTTCTCACCGGAAAGCACAGAGGATGCTGAGGGCAACCAGGAGCATCACCAGGGAGGAGCTGTAGCCCACGGTGTACATGACTTTCAGCTTCAGCAGGTATGTGTGCTGCAGAGAGAAGCAGTTGTCAGCCCCACTCACCTACCTGGCTGGCTCTGCCTTCTGTGGCCTCAGAATGTGCCCACTTCAGGGCACCACCAACCCTGACTGCATTCTGCTCATACCCAAGAACACCAATATATAAGCTCTAATATCTTGGCTTTGGAAATTATCCTGGGAATCATGTGATGCCAATTCAAAGTTGAACCTCACATTTATGGCTCCCATCAACACCCTGACTTCAAGCCTGTACTTGAATACCTCCAGGGATGATGTGTTCACTATCTTTTGAGGAAGCAATTCAGTGTAGGATATTAGATATTTCTTTTTTCTCATGTGAAGCTAAACTCTATTACCATTTATTTTGCACCTTTTGATCTTTTTTATGCCTCTGGGAACCACTTAAAGTAAGCTGAATCTATCTTCAACATTTTTTAAAAACAAACTTTTCATTTTAGAATCATTTTAACTTTATAGAAATGTTACAAAGAGTACTGAGGGGTTTGTTATTTTTTAATACAACTATTCTACCCATCCATCTCTCACTTACCTTCTCAGCATTAAACATTCCCTGTCTCTTTAATCTTGTTCTACATCTTTCACCACTAGCTCGATTAACCACTTGTTGATATCCTTCAGTTTGTCACTGTTCTTGAATGAGATACCCAGAATTAAATAGTTGAAAAGCTCCAGATGTGTTATTTGACCAGGAACAAGTTGAGAAGGGCCATCTCCTCCCCTGATCTACACACAAGCTATTAAGGCACCCCAAGAAGGTATTCATTTGCTCAACAGCCATTTCAAATTATTGTCTCATCTTTAATTCAAAAACATTTCAACAGACTGGAATAATGGGATAAAATTAAACTGTGACATTCAGAGATAAATTCAAACACCTGGCTTTAGGTTTAAAAAATAAATGATATAACAATCTCAAGAAAAATCAAAGAAATGAAAATTAAAACAATAATGCTTAACAAATATTTAAAACTAATAATATTCTATGTAGGTGAAGCTATAGTGGGAGTGAAACTGGGTTTCATCTTTCTGGAAGTCTGGATATATGTATCAAGAATCTTTGGAATGTGCATTTCCTTGCACCTCCCTTCCACCTCCAAAAATTAATTCTAAGAAATAATCAGAAATATAAAGGCATATTTGCATATAAAGATGTTTATTGCAGAACTATTTGTGATTAGAACAAAAAAAAATATGTCCAACAATAAGATTTAATTAAATTATTTTAAATCCAAATGCTTTTAATGATATGTCACTATTAAACTGATCCTTACCAAGAGTTTTAAAAGAGGTCAGGATATGCTGATAATGTAATGTTAAGTGAAGAGGAAAAATATAAATTATATGTGCAGTGCAATCCCAGCTGTTTATTAAGAAGAGAGCATTAGGTTGAATTATATGAAATTGCATTTTTTTGTAGATCAGAAATGCTTGAATACCAGCAGTTTCATATGGTAGAATCTCATATATTCATAGAAATAAGACTGTAAGAAATATATGTTAATAATGGTTAAGTTTGGATTATAGGTTGGTGGATGATTGTTATTTTCTTTAGTTCTGTACTTTTTCTTTTTATTCTGTACTTGTAATTTCTCTACAGTGAGTAAGTGCTTTTATAATCAGAAACAAAAGGGTAATTAATTTTTTTACCAAAAGGCACAAGAATAGTACAGGAGAAACCTATATGACAGCTATTTATATGACAATGACCTTGAGGTTAGAATGGCCCAGTCTCCACGGTGTCAGGGACATGTACTGTAGGCAAAGAATACAAGCTTTAGAGCCTAGAGACAAGATTTCCAAACCCAGGACTGTTATTCGCCCAACTGTGTGACCTTGGGAAAATTAATTAACTTCTCTAAGCCTCAGACTCCTTATCTGCAAAATGGGGAATAACATCTGCAGCTCTGGTAGCATAGTGCCTAAGGCATTTGACTGCTAACCAGAAGCCTGGTGATTCAAACCCACCAGCCACTCCTCGGAAGGAAGATGGGGCAATCTACTTCCTTAGTGATACTGCCTTCGGAAACCCAAGGAGGGGTTACTATGAGTCGGGTCCAACTCGATGGCACATAACAACAACAACATCTGCCTTGAAGGTTTGTTGGAAGAACAAGTAACATATTGTGTTAAGTATCTAGATGATTATTCTTGGCACTTAGAAGACACTTATCACATGTTAGTTTCTCCCACCATCCCACTACCCTCCACTCCTCATCAATCAGGGATATAAGATGGTATATGGTAGCTGCCAAAAAATTAGGTCCACTCTTAGTTACATTAATGGAGTGCTGCAGAGATGGGCTGGTCAGGGCAGATTTAGAGTGTTTTGTCCAGTTCTGGGCATATTATTTTACAAGGCACATTAACAAATGAGTATTTCCTGAGGAGGGGGATTGTGTCATCTGTTGAGTGCATGTAAAAACAGGGTACATTATACTTGGAAAATTTAAAAAAAAAAAAAAAAAAAACCTTAGGGAAGAAAAGTATTAGACTGATTGACATGTAGAAGATGGATAAGCTCTACTATGTAACTCCATTGGGAGGACATTCCCTGAAAGCAGATTTTGGACTGCTAAGGATTGAATTAAAAAAAAAAAAAATCCTAACTCAGTGCCATTGAGTCAATTCTGACTCATAGTGACCCCCTTTGGTTTCTGGGGCAGTCAATCTTTGCAGAAGTGTATTGCTTAGTTTTCCTTCTACAGAGTGGCTGGTGGGTTTGACCGCCAACCTTCTGGTAAGCAGTCAAATGACTTAGGCACTATGCCACCAGAGCTCCTTAAAGATTGAATTATATCCCCCTAAAATATGTGCTGGAATCCTAACCTGTACACCTGTGGATGTAATTCCATTTGGGAACAGGTTTTCTTTGTTATGTTAACAAGACAATAGCACTGTAGGGTGTATCATAAATCTAAATTCTGATATAGAAAAACAGCAAATTAGACACAGAAATGCCCAAAATCCACTGCCATTGAGTTGGATCTGACTCATAGCAACAGAAATAAGCAAGCACAAATAGAGGAAAGATGGATGCCATGTGGAGATCTCCAAAGGATGCTGAGAATGCTAGCGAAGCTGAGACAAGAATTTTCCCAGAGGAGACAGAGAGGCACATGCCCTGAATTGGGAATTCAAAACCCCCTGAACTCTGAGAAATGAACTTCTGTTTGTTAAAGTCATCCACTTGTGATATTTCTGTTACAGCAGTACTAAGAAACTAAAACAGTGACCCCAAATTTTCTGACAGTGAGAGATGACCTTGGAAAGAATGGCTGTCATGTGACAATGCGCTTGCCAGTGATGTAAACCACTTGCCCAGAACCACCTCTGAAGGTTGAGGGGGAGAGCCCTGAAGGACAATAGGTTGCATTAGATTAATGGTTCCTATTGATACTTCATAAACCATGAGATGCCAAAAAAAATTGTGGAGCCAGGATGATTGGGGTCAACCTATAATCTTGCCATATGCAGAATGAACCCCAATGCTGGAGGGCTTGTCGACCTCACTCATGGGGATGCCTTGCTTTGCAGACCTCAGCTCAGGAGTGCTCAGATCAGGACCAGTTGGTGGTAGTGTGAGGATGCATGGGTAAGAAGTGTGTAATGTTTTAGGTGGATTGTTCTGTATGTCCTGTCGCTGCTGTATTCATTGTCTGCTGGGTGACCTCAGCACACCCCTAGCCCAGTCCTAATGTAGACTAGTTCCTGCCTTTTGTCTGAAAGATCTGACTCAGAAAGAGCCCTGCAGCAAGGAGCCTCATATGAGCCTTAATCCCTCAGTCCTCAACATCTGCAACTGTGTACCACTCGCCAGAAAACTGGGGTCCAGAACTTCCTTATACTCTGTCCTATCTCTCTCTTGCATACCTTGACTGTGACACTTCCTTTCTGTGTCTTCTAGATCAAGTGTCAGTAAACTTTTTCTGCAAAGGGATAGATAGAAAACATCTTAGGCATTGCAGGCCATGAGTCTCTGTTGCAACAACTCAACTCTGCACTAGTGCAAAAGTAGTCATAGATAATGTTGTGTTGTTATTAGCTATTGTTGAGTCACCCTGATTCATGGTCACCTCGTTCACAACAGAACAAAATGCTGCCAGGTCTTGTGCCATCCTCATGATCAGTTGCAGATCAGACTGTTGTGATCCATGGGGTTTTCACTGGCTCATTTTCAGAAGCAGATTGCCAGCCTTCTTTTCTAGTCCGTCTGTTTAGAAGCTCTGCTGGAACCAGTTCAGCATCACATCAACACACACTCCTCCAATGACAGATAAATGGTGGCTAAGCATGATGTATATTGGCTGGGAATCAAACCGAGGAAGACTAGAATTCTACCACTGAACTATCACTGCCCTCCTGCTACAGACAATATGTAAATGAATGGCTGTGGCTGTGTCCCAATAAAACTTTATTATTTTTTTTATAATTTATTTTAATTTTGCTGTTATATACAGCAGAACATACATCAATTCAGTAATTTCCACATGTACAATTCAGTGACATTGATTGCATTCTTCAAGTTGCTCAACCATTCTTACCCTCCTTCTCTGAGTTGTTCCTTCCCAATTAACATAAACTCACTGTCCCTTAACCCATAAAAATTAATTAACAAAAGCAGGCAGTGGGATGGACTCAGCCTAAAGGCCCATAGTTTGCAGACAGATAAACTTGTCTGGATAAACAAACTCCATTTTATTTACCCAAGTGGAATCTTTGGCCTTTCTGCCAATCTGAGTCCATCATTGGCATTTGTCAACAATATAGTGGTTATATGCCAAGTAGGGAAGTTGGAAAAAAAAAAAAAAAAGAAGAAAACCAACTAATATATACCTTCACAATCATTTGATAAAAGAAAAGACATTTTAACAGTAAGAAATAGGATGATTCAAATATCAGACTAAGGACAAAGTTTGCATCAGTTTGTGGACCAGCATTTAGAAATCAAAGAATCATATAGTCTTGAAACTCTTCCAATTGTAGGAATTTTTTTTTTTTCCAAATGAGCTGAAGTCAAGATCAGTCTTGTTCACACTATGTTTGGACAATTAATACTCTACATCAAGTCCAGCACTTTACATTTAATTTTGTTAAATTTCAGCTCCTTTACTTGGAATTTTATCATTTTAACCCTGACATGAATACTGTGGTTAAGACTATGAGCTCCATTTTGTTCCAGCTGAATAGTTTAAGCCAATGGCATTCAATGTGTGGTTCCCATTGTGTGGTTCCCCAAATTTTGGGATGTCATCAATAATTCTTAGGAGAGTAAAGGAATCTAAGCCAATCATGCATCCAACCTCTCTGCCAATGATGGGTTCAGGGTGGGCAGCCCTAAGTCACTCACACAATGAGATGTGAGGACAAGCTTGCTGGAGGTTTTGGTAAAGAAGCTCTCTTGCTTATAACAAGCTATAGGGAAGCCAGGTTTTCCCTGCCCCTGGACAGGCAACAGTGGGGAAATCTGTGTTCACAATCGCCCAATGGCAGTCACCTTACAACATGAGGGTCACCAGTTTTAGGGAGAAGACACCAGCAAGGACTGATGGAAAGAACCTGATCCTTGGTAACTTTGTGGTGATGCTTCATCAGAAACTCTTGATGCCCATTCTTTGCTTTCCTAGTTATATGAGCCATATTTCCTTAGTAAGTCAGTTTAAAATTTCTGTTATTTGCAGCCAAACCTTTTTTTGAATCTTGATCCAACCACTCATCATAAGAACATTCCCTCTAAATTTGTGGATTTTAAAAATTTGTTAAACATAAGCCCCATGTCTTCATATGAGTCAACAATAGGGATGATAATATGCAGAGGGCAGAGATACTGACCATCTCTCCAAGATAAAAATGTGCCTCCTAATCAATATTTGATGGGTTCTATTATTAAAGGAGCTCTGGTAGCATAGTGGCTAAGACACTTGCCTGCTAACCAGACGGCTGGTGGTTCAAACCCACCAGCCACTCCTCGGAAGGAAGGTTGGGCAATCCTACTTCCGTAGTGATACTGCCTCGGAAACCCAAGGAGGGGTCGCTATGAGTTGGGTTTGACTCGAAGGCACATAACAACAACAACATTATTAAAGGAGCTCTAGTGGTGTAGTGGGTAAGGCATTTGGTTGTTAACCAGAAGCTTGGTAGTTCAAAACTATCAGCTGCTCTGCAGGAAGAAGACGGGGGCATCAATCTACTTTCCATAAAGATTTACAGCCTTGGAAACCCAGTGGGGGTTGCTATGAGTCGGAATGAACTCAATGGCAGTGGGTTTGTTTTTTAGGGGGGATTATTATTAAATTATACCATCTGACTAGATCTGAAGATCTCATTATATTTTCCCAGCTGGATGAGAAACCCTGAAAGGGAAGAAATTCTGCTTAGGTTGGTGTTCACTGTACTTCACATAGAGCAAGACTGATGGACTATAGCAAGAGGAGTATTAGAATAAATTCAGCAATAAGTATGGCCTGCCTTCCAAATTCATCCTTTCTCCATTAATGCTGCTGCTTCCCTCCTCCCATGCTTCTCAAACATGCTTCAATCCCACCCTCCAGGAAGCTTGTCCAACTATATTCCCACTGGAGTTTAGCTAATGGAACTGCTAACAATCCAGCTCCTGGTAGGATACAAGCTTTAACAGGGAAGCAGCAGAAAATAGAGAACTGAACTTGGGTGTTCCTTAGCCACTGTAAACATTGGTTTCGTCATTTGCAAAATGGAGAAAATAGTGAATTCACAGGGGTTACTTGAGGATCTAACCCAATTGAACATTATGTAGCTGGTCGATGGTGTATGTTCAGTACAAGAACAAACATTTATTGGGTGCCATGTATGTGCCACACAATGTGCTGGGCACAGGGGCCATTGGAATGAACACGAATCTGATCTGTCACTGCTATGTCCTCATGCCTAGGTTGATGCCTCGCCCATAGTAGGTGCTCAATAAATTTTGGTTGAGTGAAAGTACCTCTGAGGAGCTCATTTTTTAGGGAGAGGGAAGATGACACAAACTGACCATTTTAATATAATATGGAAGGTAATAGAGAGACGCCATACAGAGTGCTGGGGAAGGGGAGAAAGGATTTCCTGGAGTTCATGGGGCCAAAGTGGAGTCTTGTAGAGCATGTAAGAATCAGTCAGTAAAAGGAAAGCAAGGAGGGCTCTCCAGGCAGAAGGCCCTAAAAGGGCAGAAGGAAGCTGGCACAGTATGTGTGGGGTTTGAGGACCATTCTGGGAGGAAGAGGCTCTGCTGGAAGCCTTCTGAGGGGACAGTGATTTGGAGTGAGTGAGCTACGTGCTAGATAATGCTGGCCACCTTCAGCGAGGGCCTCTGGAATCTCCTGAAAAACTTGAGCCCCACAGTTCACAGTGTGTCCTTTCTCAGACTAGGACTGTGGCTGTGGCTGGGCTCCCTCCATCCTTAGCAGAGTCAGGAGAAAACTCCTTTTAAGAGCAAACATTTGTTGGGACTTGTTATGACCAGGCGCTCTTCCACACTTCCATATATGAATCATTTCATTCTTTTCACAGACCTGTGCACTCAGAACTATTGTTAACCCCATTTCTCAGGTGAAGAAATGGATGCACAGAGAGATTAAGTACCTCCGTCTCCATCCAGGTGACATATCCGGATTCGGACTCGCCTTCCTGGCTCTGAGTATTTAATCACCATGGCTCTTCTCTTTCAGTTTAATGAATGAATCATTGCCAGTCTCTCATAGTGGTACCTGGTGATTTTTATTGTGCCAAATGTCTTCATGAGCATCACCTCAACACCCTGACACACGAGAAATAGGATCCCCACTTGGCAGAAAAGGGCAGTGACACAGGCCCACTGAACCCAAGGGAGCAGGGGAAGTGTGAGGGGGCAGTCCCCAGGTCTCCTGACCACCCACCATGTATGCTCTATGCTGTCCTATCCTTGTTCCTCATCTGCAAGCCCTTGCCCCAGCATAAAAGGAGTGGTTGACAGACTTACCCGCTTCTCATTGGACAAGTCATTCACGTTAACCCCACAGGCCACGTCGGGCTTGGGGAAGGTTTCAGACCAGCCGTCTTGTGTACAGTTTCGAAATATGGAACCTGTGGGTGCCAAGCATCTGTGGGTGAGCAGTGGAGAATGGGATAGAGAGCCAGGGCTCCTCAGTGTCCTCAGTCACTGCCTTGTAGCAGCCTGGAGCTTCCTCTTGTCACTCTGTCCCTAGCTGCCTTTCTCTGAATGACATAGCTCCCAATCAGTTAGCTGATCCTTGAAGGATGTGTAAGTCAATCAGACAAAGTGAGGTGGGAAAGGCTATTTGGGCAGAAGGCCCTAGAATGGGCCAGACTCAGTATGTGTGTATATGTGTGTGTATGTGTGTGTCATACAATATGTGAGTAAATATATGTTTGTGTATGTATCTGTGTGACGGTGTGTGCAAGTGTATTTGTGTATGTGTTTATGAATGTGTGTGTGTGTGAATGTGTGTGTGAGTAAATGAGAGATACCTGCTGATCCCCAGTACTTCAATATACAAACAAGGTGGGTCTGAACAAAACCCTCCCCAAGCCCATGAGCACTGCCTTTTTCTTTCCTGGGACGCCCTTCCCAGCCTTACCAATGCCCTTCCCTCCCCACACACCCATATCCCACACCCCAAACACTGATGGAGCCCCTGTTTTGTCCCAAGCACTGTACCAGGCACCAGGCCTCTAGAGACAAAGGAGGCTGATTGACTCATGTTACATTACTTAACACTCCCAACAACTCTTCCCAACCAGACCACAAAGTGAAATAACTGACTCCTCTACAGGGCACTGACTACTCCTTCCCTGAGGGTCTCCCCAGCCCCTCCCTCCACCCCTACTGGTTGAAGGGTCACTTCTGGCTGTATATGGGTTTTTCCAAAGTAAGATACTGCCCCAGACTGCCTGGGTGCTTACCTGAGAGCTAGCAGAAGACCATTAATTTTTTAACGGTTTCTAGTAGTGTCTCATATGACCACAGAGGCTGAATATAGTGCCTAATAGCAGTAGTCCCAAGTGCTTTTGCTTATACACCCCTAACAAAAAAAAGAGCTGATCTCACAGTCTAATGACTAAGTATTTGCTTAATTGGAAATTTTTGTGCTCTGCTGTACTAATAATTACTATGGTAATTACTATGTGCCAGGCACTGTTCTAAGTACTTTACGCTTATTTACTGCTAGCAAGAAGGCTATGAGGAAGGCATTGTTATATTTATAGTAAAAATACTATTGTAAAATGTAAATTCTACTACTGTTTTACAATTGGGGAAACTCAAACACAGAGCACTTAAATAACTTGCTCAAGGACACACCTAGTAAATGGAAGAAGTGGGATTTGAACCCAGGGAGTCAAGTTCCAGACCCCACCCACTTAACACACTGCACAATAACCCCATTTCTTAGCCCTGCTAAGGTGTTTTGCCCACTGACATGGATTTAATTGTGTCCCCCCAAAACATGTGCAACTTGGTTGCACCATGATTCTCAGTGGTTTGGCAGTCTTGTAATGATGTAATCTGGAAGTTATATAAAGATATATTCATCCTCCATGATGTGATCAGCCAATCAATTGTAAGGCGTTTAGGGTGGGATGCAACACCCTTAAAGAGGTCACAGCCCTGATCCAATGTAAGGAGAGTTTCCCTAGGTTGTGGCCTGCAGCACTTCTTATCTTATGAGAGATGAAAGGAGAGAGAAGCAACAGAGATCAGAGAGACCTGACTATCACCAATAAAGAAGAACCGGGAGCAGAGTGTGTCCTTTAGACCCAGAGTCTCTCATCTCCAAGGATCAGGCCCACAGATGTTGAAAGGAGACTGAAAACTTCCTCCAGAGCCAACAGAGAGAGAAACCCTTCCTCTAGAGCTGCTGTCCCGAATTCAGACTTCTAGCCTCCTAAACTATAAAAGAATAAATTTCTGTTTGTTAAAGTCATCCACTTGTGATATTTTTGTTATAACAGCACTAGATAACTAAAACACCTACTCTCAGGTCCTGCTGCCACTTAATGGGTAGGTCTCCCAGAGAACTGGGAGTGATTGGCAAGGACTTCTGGCCACTCCCACAATGAATTTTTCTCAGGCCTCCATTGTTTCACTATTAACCAGAAGGTTGGTGGTTGAAACCCACCAGCTGCTCTGTGAAGGAAGACAGGGCAATCTACTTCCTTAAAGATTTACTACCTTGGAAACCCAATGGGGACTACTATGAGTTGAAATCAACTCAATGGCAGTGTTTTTGGGTTTGTTTTTTTTTTTTCTGGTTTTCATTGTTACTAATCCTGCTTGAAGTTCTGTTTGATGTCTAACTTCACTCCCTGCCCTTCAAGCTTCTACCCACTAGAAAACCACCCATATGCCATGGAATATTCTAGGCAGCCACCCCTCATGGAAAGGGTAGAATTACTGATGCTTTAGCCATGAGGCCTCACTCTGCATTTGTCAGAATTGTACATCATAAGATTTTAGCCATAGTTCATCACTCACACTCCCAGCATAGGGCTGCATCCTGGGCCTCTCACATTGGATTGGTAATGGTCTATTAGCCTTCCTCAGCAGATGATGAGCTCCTGAGGTAAAAGACTGTGGCTAACTTGTCTCCTTTTCTAGAACCTGCCCCAATTAAGTACCTAGGCCAGAGCCTTTGCTCATCAAAGCTTTGCTGATTGGCCAGAAAGGCAAATGGTTGGCAAAAGAGCCTAAATATTGAGAAAAGAAAGTCACTGGCCAAGGAGAAAGTCTTAGAAAGCCATAGGGAGGAGTTTCTTCCTATACCCTAATGGTCTAGCTGCATCCTGTACTTTGGGTGGCCAAGGAAGGTTGAGTTCTGGTAGGCTGTTGCAGGGTGCAGAATGTTGACTACTAAGCCTGTGGAAAGGAGCCCTGCCTCTTCCTTTGCTCAAACTCTTGCCCTGTCCATACAAAACAAGACCCAAGCCAGTTGCCATCAAGTATTCCAACTCATGGTGATCCCCTGGGTGTCAGAGTAGAACTGTGCTCCATAAGGTTTCAATGGCTGATTTTTCAGAAGGAGATCACCAGGCCTTACTTCTGAGGCACCTCTGGGTAGACTTGAACCTCCAGCCTGTCAGTTAGCAGCCACATGCTTTAACTGTTTGGACTTGCTCTGTTAAAAACCCTGGCTGCTAACTGTGTTCTGGGCCAGGCATGCTCCTCTCCAATAAACCAAAAAAACTAAACTCACTGCTGTCAAGTCGGATCAGACTCCAATAGACCTTAAGATTTAGGGTCAAACAGCTTCCACTGAGTTGGAGAAATGTGGCTAGGATTTATTGAACAAGCCATTATGCTAAGTACTTTACATACAGAAACTGAGGTAATCCTCACTTGGCCCCAGTGAAAAAGGTGGTACTGGCCTATTTTATAGTTAAGAAAACCAAGGCCTAGAATTGGGCCAAGACAGTAACAGGGCTCGGGTCTGGATGCAAAACCTGTGTCCCATCACTATCTAGTACTCCTGTTTAGCCAGCCCTTTCCCTATGTTCCCAGCGACAAGTTCTAGCATCTGAAGACTGTGGCCTCTGGGTTCTGGGTATGCCTGGCCTTCTCAAGGTCAGGAAGCTTGACCTACAAGGGGCCAGATTTTTGCCCAAGAGGGGTCTTTGAGTGCTGCCCCTGGAGCACAGGCTTTAAAATCAGCTAGATCTGAGTTTAAAACCTAGCTCCACCTCTTGGTCACTGTAAGGCCTTAGAGGCATCACTTCTCTGTGTCAAACAGGAGTAGTCATCGCACTGCAAGTATCTGGTGAGGATGAAACACAATAGTCCAGGTTGGGGCCAGGCACAGAGCAGACACTCCAGGGTGTTTTTCCCTTCTCCTTTTGGCCTTTCTAAAATAGATGTGAATGGGTGGGGCTCAGAATCTTCGGATTTAGGGGAAGGACAGATTTCTGCAATTAAATCAAGGGAGTTAGGTTGTCAGACAGAACCAAGAATATCCATAGCAACAGAGGGAAGGACAGGAAAGTGTATGGTCAAATTTTGGGGGGTAGTATACAAGATGAGTTAAGGGAATACAGATTCCCATGAACTCAGCTAGAAAGGAGTCAGACAGGGCATGCCTGAAGAGGCTGGCTCACCCAGTGCCACAGGCCTACTTGCTTTGAGTATTGCTCCTTACTGACCCAGCAGGATTCCTGAGAAAGGATACTGCTTATGATCTAGGTCAGGTGCCCAGAGCTGCTCACAAGGTGCTGCCTCCTGCTGGCAGGACAGCTTGGAGCTGAAGAGCCTATTGAGGTGCCCCCAGGGAAACTTCAAAGGAGATAAAAATGATCTCTCTCTGGGGTACCTTCAAACCCCTTCCACACCCCCTGAGTTTAATTTCTGTAGGAAAGGGGTCCTTAACCATGTATAGGTCCATGTACTCCCCACAGGAACCCTGAAATTATAGTCAGATATATTTGTGTATATGTTACTGTTGTTAGCTGCAGTCAATCCAGCTCTGACTTACAGCAACTCCACATACAATAGAAAAAATGAAATACTGCCTGGTCCTGTGCCATATCCACGATCAACTGTGGATCAGAACATTGTGATCCACAGGATTTTCACTGACTGATTTTTATAAGTCGATCACCTGGAAACTCTGCTGAAATCTGTTCAGCACCACCGTAACATGCAAGCTTCTAGTGCCAGACAGGTGGTGATTGTGCATGAGGTGCATTGACCAGGAATCAAACCTGGGTCTCCTGCATGGAAGGCAAGAATTCTAGCATTCAACCACTGCTGCTCAAATTTAGGGAGCTTTTAGCAGATTGCCAAGAACCTAATCAGGTAAGAAACAACTCTTGCTTTAAGGCCCCAATGCCTACTAACATACAGGAGAAGGAGGGCCAAGACCTGACCAGGAAATGACCAGTGCCCTTTTAAGAATCAAAGAAATGGTCCGTCCCTAGAAGGAGAATTTTAGGTCCTGGAATGAACAGAGTAACACTGGGGCAGTGCCACCTTGCAGGTTCTCCAATCACATGACATCCATCCTGTCTGGGCCCACATAGTAGGTGTCATGAAAAGAAATTACTCTGTGACTTTTTTTCTTCTTCTTTAATAAAGAAGGATCTAAAACACCACCTTAAAGTCACTGGGTACTCATCTCTGAAAAAGAGTTAGGGCAGGGGGTTAGGCCCCCTGGAATCCTGTGGGACACCACTGAGGGCACTCCTGAGAGGAGAGAGGCAGAGCAGGGGTCCAATCAGACCAATCAGGTGAAACTCAGGGGACAGGAAGTGGAGGAGAGGAGGTTCTTAGTGAGTAACTGAGGTTGAACCAGTCCTGGTCTATGCAGCAGTCTGGAATGAGCAGCAGTCTGGAACATACATGAAAGATACTTTTGGCCAAGTATGGGCCCCACGTATGAGATGCCCCTTTCCCATAAGGCCAGGGGGTCTACCAGACACCCTTAGGTACTGTCTCAGTGTAAAACTGCAATGGACCCTGGACCCTGGATCCAACAGTGCCACCATGTGGCAGTGAAGAGAAACTGCAGCAGAGGTAGATGTGGGACCCCAGTGTTCCTTCCAGACAGCTTGCCATCAGACCGATTCCCTGGATAACTCCCACGGGTCTTGAGCAAGCCGAGGGTGGAAGAGCTTCCAGAGGGAGACAGTGGGCTTCCAGTTAGTAAGGTGGGCAAGGGCTCAGCAATTAACTGGGAAGAGAGTGACCAAATCAGCACCTGGTTACACATATGGACATGTGCACTGGCTCTGATTGGCCCCTTTGTAGAAGGGTAGTCACTATGGCTCTGAGAGGCTGCAAAGGGCAGTGTGCTCCAAGTCCTCTTCAACAAAAGAATTCAGTTGGCCTCGGAGAGAGCATTGGATAGGGGTGGGAGAACAGGGTCTGGTGTTGACATTACACCTGATGAGTATGTTGCTCCAGGTTAACCATGTCTGAATGAATCTGAGCTCCACAGGTCCCAGAAAGAGGAACTGAGGGATTGTGGCAGGAGATAAATACTGTCAGTGAGCATGTTTGTGTGTTGAGGTGCCGGTTTACAGGAAGTAAGGAAGGAAGAAAAGGAATAAGAGAAGATAAAATTTACATCTAATTATAGCCTTGCAGGATAGATATCATTTATTTTCTCCATTTTACAGAAAATCGGAGGTCAGAGACATGAATAAACTAGGCTCTGAGGTAGAGATTGGCACCGGGCTGGATGGCATTTCCCAGGCCTTTTGCAGTTAGGTGTTGCCACACAACAGGGCTCTGGCTGAGGGGATGTATGCTGACGTGGTGTCACTTTCAGGTCCTTCAGACTCTCTTCCCCTCATCGTATGATTCCTGGGTCCTCTCCTCTCCCAGCTCACTCTGGAAGCTGTATGTCGAAGACACTGAAGATGCAGGTAGTTAGGTACTGGGACTCTAAATCACTACGTGGAAGAGAGCTACCTGCTAATCAAGAATACCTGCTATGGGCTTTGTGTGGGCAAGTACTATATGAAGGTGTTGAGTCTGGAAGGATTTATTCATGACAACAGCTAGCATTTTCCATCCAGTAAGCAGAGGAATGGACTTCAAACGGCGCTTTCTAATCCCTTTCCCTTGCCTAAATAGAGGTTATTGAGTCAGGCTGAGAGGGAAAATGAGCTAGAGTAACTAATTTCCCAGACCTGCGTGTGCATATGTGCATGCATGTGCAGTACAGAATTATGGTAATAACAATCTGCACTCCTCTTCCAGACTGTATGGTCTCTGTTTTGGTTCTCTGTTGTTGTTGTTGTTGTTGTTTGCCGTCGAGTCGGCCCCGACTCATAGCGACCCCTCCTTGGGTTTCCGAGGCAGTATCACTACAGAAGTAGGAATGCCCAACCTTGGTTCTCTAGTGCTTCTCTAACAGGAATACCACGCATGGGTGGCTTTAACAAACAGGGATTTACTCTCTTACAGTTTAGGAGGCTAGAAGTCCAAGTTCAAAGTGCCAGATCTATAGGCTGGGTGAAAGCCCCTCAACTTTAGGCTTCAGCTCTGCCTCTTGCTCTCTGTCCACTGAAGCTGGAGGCTTTACTTAACTCAGACAGCTGCTGGCTGCTAAGGCTGACAAACCCAAGGCAAACAAGCAAAACGGCATAGTCCCAAGCTTATTAAGCAACACTGTAGGCCACTAGTTCAAGTCCAGAAACAGTCCCAAGATCAGTAGGCAACATGGAAGACTATTGAATGAAGTCTCTGCTAATTGCAGGATCCAAGCATGCCAAAACACTCAAGATCTTTATTAAAGCATCTTCTTATATACTGGAAGCAGATCATATCCCTAAGGCAGCTATTCAGCTGCTCACCGTAGATTCTACCAGGGAGCTGATTACCAGTCTCATCATGGGGAATAATATATTCAGCTGCCCAGCCACTCAAAACCAGGCCCAGTCAAGCTGACACATAACCTAGCTACCATGGTCTCCATGGCCTTATTTCCTTGCCTGTCCTTGGAAGGTTACTGGTATTATTTAAACCTTTTCCTTGGTTCTTGGTTTCCTTGTTTAAGGGCTTCATCTAGCAGCTTTTTCTGCCCTGCATGAGTGAAGGGAGAAGTAGTGGCAGACTTGGCCCTTAAATGAAAAATGACCCCATTGAGGGCAGGGGTCAAAGGCTACAAACTTGCCTTACCCGCCCCCCACTACCACCCAGTGTTACCCTGGCCATTGGACTGTAGTCCCCCCTCAACCATGACTTTGAGGACAGAACACTGGTTTTGAAATCAGAGAAATCCAGGTTATAGTCCTGGTTTTTCTACCTACTAGTTGTGTGACCTTAGGCATACTGCTAAACATCTCTTAGTCCTAGCTGTTATTGCTTTTTACTAGGTCAAGTGGGGGAACAGTTGGTACGTGATTTGCATGGGTTTCATGATGATTAAATGTGTCCACATATATAAAAATGCTTGGCATGTTCTTGACCTTTAACTAAAGTTAATCCTTTGTGTTTTTCCTGTCTTAGACAATCTCCCCACTTCTGTGTCTAAAATTAAGGAAATCCTTATGAACTGCAAGCTTTCCTCTGGCAAGAAATTCCGTAGGAGGCCAGAGTTTCCGGAGGACACCGTTTATCAACAGGGCCTTGCAGAATGGGCACAGAGGAAGTAAGTTTTGTTGAAGGTGGGCCTTAGGCCCAATGGGGCCTGAGGACAGGGGCAGGGGCTAAAGCAAGAGCCCTGGTTGCTAAAGGGTCAGAAACACTGAAGGAAAGGGAATCAAAAAACCAAACCCATAACCATCAAGTCAATTCTGACTCATGACAATCCCATGTATTACAGAGTAGAACTGCTCCATAGGCTTTTCTACCTGTAATCTTTATTGAAGCAGATCACTAGGCTTTTCTCCCCAGGCGCCACTGGATGGGTTTGAACCACCAACATTTAGATTAGTATTCAGGCACAATCTCTGAACCACCCAGAGTCCTTGAACGAAGGACAGAACCCCCTAAATGGGGAGTGTGGGGCAGAGAAGCAAATCGAACTTCCCTTATCACTCCCCCCTATATTGCCTCCTTCCCCCTTGTTGGGAACCTGTGCACTGACCCCACTATTTACTCCTCAGCAAGGATTCTATACCCTACAAGTAACTTCCATCCACTGTTTGAACTCAGAAAAGATTTCTTGGCCTCAGACCTTCAGGCAGAGACCCCTAACCAGGAGTCCATCCCTCAGCTCCTTAGCCAGGACTACTGGGCTTGGCCACTCATGTTCTGGTCATTACCATTTCTGCCTGTGAGCATCTGGAGGAATCGCGGACAATCCACTTCCACGGTCTGGCCTGGTGTGGTGGAGGGCCAGCAACTCATGTTGTCCCACAGTCCCTCACAGCCTGCTGAGGAGAGAGAGCAGCAGCATCAGACATGGATGAATATGGGCCCTGTGTCCCCCTCTCCACCCTTTCTCCATCCCCAGCACCTTTGCCTGCCTCAACATCCACCCCAATAAGACTTCCTTGCATTTCTTCCAGTTTCCAAACTTCCCATTAGACACTGGTCTCTTGAGATCAGGAACTAATAGTATCTAATGTACTTTTCATTTTCAGGGTCTTGGACACTGCCAACTACATAGTAAGTGCTCAGTGGTGAAAACATACATGAAATAAATGAATGGACACACATTTTCTCATTTGTGCTTCACAAGCACAGGTCTGGATGTCTCTGAGCTTCAGCTTGCATGAAACAACTTGCCAGCACTGACCTCCATTCTAGTTGCACAGTAGAATCACCCAGAGAGTTTTAAAAAATATATGTAAGCTGGTCCTACACCCAGGGATTATGATTTAATTGGTCTTGCTTGGGACCCAGGCATGATGCTGTGTTTAAGTTTTCCAGGTGATTCTCATGTGAAGACTAGATTGAGAACCCTTGGTCCCATGCTTGTCAAATTTTAGCCAGCTCACATCAGGTTCACCTAGAGAGTTTTTTAACACACAGGTTGTTGGATCCCACCCTCAAAGTCTCTGATTCAGTAGATCTAAAGTGGAGCCTGAGAATTTGCATTTCTGACAAGTTCCTAGATGATTCTGACTCTGTTGGTTTGAAGACCACACATTGAGAGCCACCATCCTAGCCCGTGGAAGCAGCTACACTAGAGTTACTACTGTGTTTGTGGTGGGATATTGTTGAGGATGTTGCTCTCTACCACATAGTGTTCCCTTTATGAAACCCCTTCCTGGAAAAGAATCTGGTCTTGATGCCCAGAGAAGCTGAATTTCCCCTGAACAACTAGTATATTTTTATCCTTATAGACATTGAATCTTTGGTTTTTATTTTTTAAATTATTTTTGTTGTTGAAAATACACAAAACTGAACATATACCAAGTCAGCCATTTCTACATATACAATTCAATGACACTGATTACATTCTTCAAGTTGTGCAACCACTCTCACCTTTCTGAATTGTTCCCCTCCATTAATATAAATTCACTGCCCCCTAAGCTTTCTGCCAGAACTTCTGAGTTACTGTTGTCAGTTTGATCCCATATAGGTAGTTCTCTAGAAGAACATAATGCTCATGGCATGCATTCTCTGCTAATAAAACTAACCTATTTGGTTTAAAGAAGACTTCAGGGAATATTTTGGTTTAAGGTTTCAGGATTATCTCAGGGCAGTAGTTTCAGGAGTTCATCTAGCCTCCATGACTCCATAAAATCTGGATTTCATGAGAACTTGAAATTCTGCTCTGCATTTTTCTCCTTTTTCATCAAGATTCTTCTATAGAAGTAATGGTAGCCAGGCACCATCCAGTTCTTCTGCTCTCATAGCAAAGAAGGCATTTGTTCATGGAGCAATTAGTCAGTTACACATTCTATTTCTTCCTCCTACCCCTAACTCTCCTTCTTATTCTGTTGCTACAGGCAAATAGAGATAATTGTTGTACCTGGGATGGCTACTTGTAAGTTCTTTATTATTATTATTATTATTATTTATTTTTTATTGTGGTTTGGGTGCAAATTTACAAAGCAGATTCATTTTACTCTCAACAGTTCATGTACATTTGGTTTTACGCTCCGATTACAATCCCAACAATAAAAAATGCTCTCCTCCCATTAACTACCCTTTCCTTATGCCCTTATTATCTATGCATTCCTGTTTGTCTAACTTTCCCTCTATGCAAATGATGCCCTTCTGATGTCTCACAGTAGATTGATCCAAGGTGTGCATCTCCCTAGCATATTGTTGTTGTTGTTAGGTGCTGTCGAGTTGTTCCTGACTCATAGTGACCCCATACACAGCAGAACGAAACACCGCCTGATCCCGCACCAGCTCCATGATCCTTGCTATACTTGAGCTCATAGTCACAGCCACCGTGTCAATCCATCTCGTTGAAGGCCTTCCCCTCTTTCGTTGACCCTCCACCTTACCAAGCATGACATCCTTCTCCAGGGAATGGTCC